TCCCTCGATCGACTCTACAAGTGCTCTCCGCACGCGTGCCATCTCCGACGATTAATCTGTGGTGGGCTGTGCCTCCGTCCTACGATCATCACCACTCCTTGCGCCACGTCGATATTCTTACCGACACAACCCGAGTCACTATATATAATCGTCACCGCTCCGGCTACCTACTCAACACCAAGCAACACCGATCTCGACTCGAGCGAAGCTTGACCCGGGGGGATACTTTGGGCGGCAAGGACGAGCAACATACTGGTCTGTGATCTTTGATCGGTCTCTCCCGGATTTTTCGCAGCACCCGTACAAGGTAAGCCTGCGAGCACAACCCGTCAGTCTGATTCAGCCCGGATCCGCCACCAGGTGCTCCTGGCACTTCTAGTCATGCCAGCGAGCATGCCGGGCTACCCCCGCGATCATTTTGCCTTGCCCAACCCTGTGTGTGGAGTCGCACTCAAAACGCTCCCTACTCGTGGCGATGTGCTTCCCCCCTCAAGATGGCGCTGCTTCCTAGGCGCCTTCGTCCTTTTAGCCTCTTGCCTCTCGGTGTCGCTCTGTATACTAACCTTTTTCAAGAACACGCAGTCCTTTTGAACCTAAAGTCACCTTCGTCTGACGCGGTGAACCGTCCGAAAACCATCCTGCAAGCTGGCCATCCACGCAGCAGGGATACTGACACTGACTGGCGATTTCCATCGTAATATGAGGTCGCCTGTTCCGGGCGAAGTAATGGACATTGGTAACTTGATGAATCAAAGAGCTATGCAACAGCACGCCCCCATGCACACCGGAAACACCCCGGATCGCCAGATGCCTCATCTCCCTCAACTCACCGCGAGAAACATGGCCGAACCCCCAATGGACCGCGCCGGCTCCCCTCACGGATCTGAATACTCCCAGCACTCTCGTCACACCATGGAAGGTGTCCCACGATCATACCCGTCGCCCAGCGCCGGCTCATACCCCTCTCCCAGCGCCATGGTCGGCGCCCCGATGTCCATGCAGGTTCCTGTCTCTCACATGGCACCGATCCTGCCTGGCATCCCGCAAGAGATGTCCCAGCACATGGGCTATAAGGCGCCCGAGCAGCAGGCACCTCAGCAGCCTACAAAGGCCTACCCGTGCAGCACCTGCGGCAAGGGCTTCGCCCGCCGCAGCGACCTGGCCCGTCACGGTATGTACTGATCTAGTGTCTCGAGGTCCAGCACTAACTTGAACAGAACGCATTCACAGCGGTATCCGCCCTCACGTCTGCGACTTCCCCAACTGCGGCAAGCAGTTTATCCAGCGATCTGCCCTCACCGTCCACCAGCGTGTCCACACGGGCGAAAAGCCTCACATGTGTGAGCGGTGCGGCAAGCCTTTCAGCGACAGCAGTTCCCTCGCCCGTCACCGCCGAATCCACTCCGGCAAGCGTCCGTACAAGTGCCCGTACGCCGACTGCCAAAAGACCTTTACCCGCCGCACCACCCTGACCAGGCATCAAAACCACCACACCGGCACCGTTGAGGAGGCGGCTGCGGCCACCGCCGCTGCGCTTGCCGCCCGCGGAGCTGCTGCGAAGCCCACCCGCTCCGACGGAGACGCCATGTCCAACCGTGGCTCCCCTCTGACGACACCCTCGCCCGGCCAGCGGACCCTGTCAATGTCTCCAAGCGCGGACAACATGCATCGTGCCAACGCCGAGTTCCAGTACATGGGCAACAGCTCCCTCCCCGTGCACCTCCAGCGCGACATGCACGTCGGCAGCCCTGCGTCGACAACATCGGCCGGCTACAACAACGGCATCCGCCCGACCTCCCACCCTACGGGCTACGGTCCTCCTCCCACGCTGGAGCCCAGCGTCGAGCAGCACTCGGGTCCCGGCAGCGCAGGCGGCAGCCCTCACATGAGCAGCGTCGGCTGGCAGTCCCCGTCTCACGTCCCGTCGCCCTCGCACAGCAGCAACGGCGGCAACGGATACACCTACCCCGACCCCGACGCGTACCCGTCTGCCCCCTCCCTCGGCGGCCAGATGTTCTACGGCAACGCCGGCCAGGTCCGCCGCCCCCAGAGCACGGAGCCCCCCACCGCCTACGATATCAAGGGTCGTCAGAGCGAACTGTGGGCGGGCGCTCACTAGCAGTCTCAGGGCGAGTGATCTGTCTGCGTCTTCCTCGGACAGCTGTGTCTTTTTCTTTTTCCTCGAGTAACGAAAAGTTTGTGCATGGCAAGTTGGTGGGTGGGTAAATACATACAACTTTAATACTGCGGGCTGCACCGGGAACTGGTCAGGGAGATACCACAGGGTCGGTCAGCCATCTGGTTCGTTTAAAAACACGCCTTTTCTTTTGTAGCTTGATAGACGGGCGGAAAGCACAACTTCATGATGACTCTGGGCCTGCATAGGCATTGGCGGGAGGCAACGGTTGGGAGGAGTTTCCAAGATCAGGAAACGAGCGCTCCTGGGCGGGACACCCCGATAAAGGACTGGACTCTTGTTTTGTTGCGGATCTTTGTATGCAAACCTGTACTAGACAATGAACGCGAGTAGCTTATTCTTCTCATCACAAGTCTGTGAATTCAGTGACAATCCAGGTGGGGGGCAGTATTCTCGACAGCTTCAATTGTAGTACACCTAATACCTCGATGGGGATGAAAGTAGCAGAGAAACCGACAACGACACCGAGGGCGGTAGAAGAAGACGACAGGAGACGACGACGATGATGGACGACAACTATGGACGATGATAGATGACAACAAAATAGGCGATTAGAAGGGAGACGGATTACGACACTGCCTGGCTGGTAAACCTCCTGCGATCTCAGTGACAATCCAAGTGGGGAGCAGACGTGACCAGGGCCAAGCTTGAGGTTCGATCTCACGATGGTCAGTGTGCGGACGACGGGGCGAGTCTAAGGTAGCGTTGCGTTGGATGGTCCGTGGACGGCGACCCGCTGCACTTGGCAAACTTATGATGGAATGGTAGCTGGGCCGACGGGCTTCGTTCGATGCCAAGGGGACGGCCACGTGAGCCTGCTTAACAAGTGGCCTCGCTCCCGCATGCGCTGACAGCGGCTGGATGACAGCTTTTCGGCCGAACCCATTTGCTCATCATCGAAAGCTGATGACCAAACGCGGTTCTTGTTTTCTAATCGGGGCGATCTAGCCTCAGCAACATGAGTGAGGCGGGCGGGGCGATTCAGACCCGAGGCATACGTCGTTTGTTCTGGTCTCGGATTGATGAGAAAATCAGAAAGAAAAAAAAGTGTTTCTGCGGGGGACAGAGGACCGCCTTCCGCGGGTGACATTTGGTTGGTCGGCTGGCTCGCAGGTGTTGGTTGCTGCATTTGCTGCATTTGGGAAATAAGTGATTACTCAACTCGAAATCTTGAATCGTTCTTCTGAGGTCAGGAGCTCGGATAATGCGAGAGGAAACCGGAGACGGATGGCTCCTTTTTTTTTGGCTTTAGTGAGACGGGCAGGGCGGGCGTTGCGCGTGGCATCCCCCCAAAAGGTAGATTGCTAGTCCGAGTGTACCCGTTTTCCAGTTCTTGCTTGTCGTTCTGAATCGCTAATCCGAACGTCTCGTTCTCGGTAGCCCCCAGAGATGACTCGATTAGTATACAGTCTCTGGTGGAACCCTCGCCCGTGTTTGCTTGTCTTGGTGTAAGCCGAGAAGAGTAGGGGGAGGGGGGTGCGTAAGAGACAGAAACAGTGTCTGGGTGTTTGTGGGATATTTATCCCACTGGCAGCTCAGCCGGCGGGAAGCAAGCCTGATTACTATTCAACGTCGTGCCTTGGGTCTCTTGACCTCACCTGAGGCGTGGGCGGCCGAAGTGAGGGGGGAAAAAAGAGACACTCTCTCGAGACTTAAGATGCATGGCTGGCCCTGATTCATTCTTTCGCCTTTTGCCCGTCCATCCCCGGATTGAAGTTAGCAGTCCCCGCAGAGCGTGTAGCTGATCCCACGCGGTTTGACGCCATCGCGGACCGAGGCTTTTCTGCTTCGGGGCTAAGAGGGATATCACGTTTTCGCCCACCACTTTCGACATTTTGCAGAATCTCACGACGCACAAAACGAAATGACAGTCATTCGTATCGAGGCCGTCACGGACATGCTCTGTCCGTGGTGCTACGTCGGCAAAAAGAACCTCGACCGCGCGATCGAGCTGTACCGCGAGACGGACCCGTCCGCCGAGTTCCAGGTGGCGTGGAAGCCCTTCTATCTCAGCCCGGCGATGAAGAACTCTGGTCGGTTGGCCGTCCATTCTCACTTAGACTCACACTGACGCAGACGCAGGATACGATAAGCGCACCGTCTACACGAGGACGTTCTCCGTGGCGGGCGATTTTGAGACGGCTTTCGAACGCATCTCGTCCGACTGCAGCCGCGCGGGCATCAAACTCGACATTAGCGGTACCACGGGCAACTCTCGGCAGTGCCACAAGCTCATCGCCCTCGCGTTGATGAAGGGCTTCGACGTGCAGGACCGGCTGCTGGATGCCCTGTTCCGGGGCCACTTTGAGGAGGGTGCCGACATTTCGGACAGGGAGTTCCTGCTGGCGGCGGCGGCGGAGGCGGGGCTGGATGAGCACGAGGCTGCGAGGGTGCTCGGCAGCGAGCGGGCCGGCGAGATCGTCGACGGCGAGGTCATCCGCGCGAGGAAAGCGGGCGTGAACGGCGTGCCCACCTTCACCATCCAAGGCCGGTGGAGAGTCGGCGGGAAACAGGAGCCAGACGTCTTTCTGAGAGTTTTTGAGAGAGTTGCCGAGGAGTGAGAGTGAGAGGGTTGCCTAGTCGAGTCAGCAGCATAGCGGCGCGGATGATACCGCAGTTGAGCATCGGGTCTGGTAATAAGTTTATTCATCGCCTTTTCTGCCCGTCACCACAGGACCTGTCCCTAATCGGCCGTGACGAAGCCAGTCTGAAACCCATTCTATAAGACCGAGGAAACCTATCCGAATTCGCCCAAAGAGCCGCCGCCCATCAAAACGCCAGAAATGCAGCCGAATGTGTCCATCTACCGCTTAGTAAGGTGACTGTAGTCCTTGAGCAGATGCTCCATGTGCGTGTTGGTCGTCTTGCCGGTGCGGCGGACGGCGCGCTTCTTTTGCTTGTTGTTCTTGGGATCGACCTTCTTGATGAGGCTCGGGTCGGCGCTGGCGGGCTTCTGCCCGACGGAGACGAGCTTCTTGACGATGTCGTCAGTGCTCGGCACCTCGACGGCGTTCCACATGCGCTTAAACTCGTCGTCGACGTGGTGGTGCAGCGTCGCGTCGTCGAGCCAGATGGCGCGGGGGTGCTGCTCCTTCTTCGTCTTGACGATGAGGATCTTGTGCTCGCGCTCCAGCTCCATCAACGCCTGGTCGCAGTCGGGCCAGCCGTCTTTCAGGTCCTTGACGTTGGTCCCCTCGGCGTCCTTCTTGCTCTGCAGGTGGCGCAGGAGCGAGATCTTATCCTTGACGCCAGGGATGATGGGCCGGTGGATGTACGTGCCGGTCCTCCACGTCTGCTCCGACAGCTTCGAGTCGGGGACCCACTGAATGCGAGGATGACGGCGCATGGCCTCGACCAGCGACTGCTTGTGCTTGTCGGTGCTGCGCGTCTGGCCCAGGTGGTCAAAGATCTCCGTGGCCGTCTTCGGTTCGTCCTTGCCCTTGAGCCACTCGAGGGCATACTGCATCTGCGTGAAGACCTCTTGACCAAAACTAGTGTTCTGAGGCTGCGAGTAGACGACAGTGTTGGGATCGCGCTTGCGCTTGCCGGACGAGGCATCGTTCTTGGATGCGGTGCTGCCGACAGAGGGAGAGGGCGAGGGGGGCGCCAACGACGGCTTCTTGGCCGTTAGCTTGCTGGCGGCCGAGGCGAGCGAGCTGTTGAAGGCTGCCTTTTGCTTCTCGAGGAGGGACGACATCTTGGCGGGTGTGGACGGTGTCTAGTATATATTGGAGGGAGTCGATGACGGGTTGTAGACGCTTCTTAGCATGCGGTCGTGGGTGTTGCTGGCTCGATAGACGTTTAGTGAGTGACCAGGCAGCCGCGCTCCTCTGCCGATCGAGAAGCAGGAACAAGATCAAGTCTTTCGGGAGCCTTTTCGCCGTCGCTCGTATCCCGTAGATTCCCAGATCTCCCGACAACTCTTCGCTTCAATGGTCAGCTGCGTGGGCTGGGCGGCGCCCTGTCGTCGGCGGCTCGCTGCCTCGTCCTCGCGGTCGCTCTCCTCGGGTCGCGCTGTCGTGCCTTGTTCGTTTTTCTCCTGTCGTTCCCGCTGCTTCGATATCCACAACTATATCCAGGCGTTTGCTGCGATCAGCCGGTTGACAATGACGGCGCAAGCAGGGTGACGGAGGGAAGATTCTTTGCTGAGCCGAGATGGGAAGCTGCTGATTCAATCCTCTTGGACGTTCGACGCTGTGGCGCACGGACGTGGCTGATGAGCTAAGCCACGGCAGGCACCTTTATCTCCGATCGAATGAATTTCCGATGGACGCCTACGGACTCTCGCTTGCCTCAATGATAGACCCATCATGTACCTTGTGGGTGTCTCATGCAATTTTCCGATGGGTTCCGGCTGCTGTCTCTCACAAGCTGGCGACAGAGTGGCTGTGGATATGGCATGCACGGGCCATGCCCCTATGGCGGGTTGACGCAGGAGTGGGAGCCGAAAGTGGCCTTCAAGAGTGGGAGTTGACCTTGGTAGGTATGGTTTTTGTGATTTTTGTGATTTTTGTGATTGATTTGACGGCAAACAAGTCCGGGCTATAGAGATATGTCTGGAATAAGGCGTCCTGGCATTGGCCGCAATGGTTGGTGACATGCGCACCATCAAAGCGGTCAGCGCTGAGCAGCCAGTCACATGCATCCCGAGTCCGAAATGTCCAGAGAATCGCAGACAGCAAGACACACTCATCCTTGTTGTCAACTATATCCAGCGCTTCTTGCCCCTCTCCAACACCCCGTAAACAAATGTCCATAAGAATCGTGACCGAACGTATATTCTATTAAAAGCAATATCTTCAACCGGCAGATTCGGCTCAGTCGAAGCACAACCAGCCAGATCCACCTCACGACGTCAAGAAAGCTCCTGCCGACCGACGTCAAACCTTGTCAGATGATCGTTAAGACGAGAGACACCCGTCACCAATCCCTTCACATCCGCCTGCGTGCCTCATTACGGGGCGGCGCGCGCGCGTTTCCCCTCTGGAACCGTGCGCGGTGACGGCTTCCATATTCATCCCCCCTAAAGTACTCGCTTGGCAGTCAAAAAACACAACAAAAGTCCGCTGAGAAACTTATGCGGACTGCTGCTGTTGCTGCTGCTGGTAGTTGTAGGCGACGTAGGCGAGGACACCGCCGATGAGGAGGACGGCGTACAGGCCGATGCCGAAGCCGGGACTCTCGGTGTGGCCGGCGGAGGTGGCGGGAGCGGTTTGCTTCTTGGGGGAAGGGTCGCCGGGCTGAAGAGGAAGAGGAGCGTTAGCTGTGAATATCCCGAGCATGTGCGCATGCGCGCGGAGGGGGTTCGGCTTACCTGGCGCTTCAGGTCGCCAATGTAGAGCTGGTCGAGGGTCTCGCGGGCCTCGTCGCTGTGGCCGACATCCTCGAAAGCCTCGGAGGCATCCTGACCGCCGACATCGAGCAGAACCTCCTCACCACCGCTAGAGACAAAACGTCAGTTGGGACGAACAGACGGACAATGGGGGAGCCGGCCATTCAGGAGCAGCCGAGGTCGAGTAGTACTCACGGGTGCTCGTCGACAAACTTGGTGCAGTCGTAGATCTTGTCATGGACTACAATGTAAATGTCCTTCTTGGTGTTGTGCTCGGCAACATCCTGGTAGGTGAGTTCGACGCCGCCCATTGTGACAGATTTCGCAAAAGAGGGTTCTCGTTCTGTTGGTGATAAACGTGGCTTTTGTTGAGCAGCAAACGGGGTTGCGAACTGTTCTTTTATTTCGGTGAAACTTGGTGGGTGGATGTGCGAAGCAGGTGAAGAAGCAGGACAAAGAGACTTTTTGGCGAGATTTAGAGGTGGCAGTTGCACAATCAGGCCAGCTCGGATGTTGTTGAGCCCGCTTCACTATTATCGCGTAAAATCGGGGGGGGGATAGCTGATGGAAGCTTCTGCTTTGACAGTGGACACAATTGCAGCTTGGGGGGAAAAAAGGATATCGGGGGTCCGCTCAGGGGGGACTTTCGGGCCAATGAGGGACACCGAAATTAGTGCACACCTGCTGTGATTCGCCGGCCTGGCGGATTGGGCGTCCAGGGTTTAGAGGGATTGAGCCTTCGAGGTACCGTTTTTAGGGGCCAGCAACGGGAGATTGAGAGCCCAGCTGGAGACTGACTGGAGAGGTCCAGTGCCCAGAGAGTGGGAGCGGGGCTGGCACCCCGGCGGAGCGAATGTGATGCCGCCGTTCCTGTCGGCATCGCACTCGGGAAGGGCTGGCAAATGAATGTGAATACGGCGTATGTCACCCACGGCTGTATTCGCAAACTTAGGTCTACCAAGCCTGCCTCGCCTTACCCTGCGACACCCGTTCCTTACCTTGGTCCTAGGCAGTGCCACGTCTCTTCCCCGCCCATTGAGACTCGACCAGGCTGTCTCCGAGTCAGGGCGAACGTTGCTCAGAAGAGAGCAAGCACTGCGACGTGAGGGCATGCCGTGCCTGTCCTGACCGCCCAAGCTGCTGCGTCCAGTTAGCTCGTTTCGAAACGCGGGTCTCTTGCCGGAATCCTGTCGGTGTCCGCTGCAGCGTGGCTGGGCTTCGACGAGTAGCCGTCGCCATCTCAGTTCCGCTTCCACGTCGTCGCAAACCCTCTGCGAATATCTACAGCGGAACCGCTCGTCGTCTGCCGGAATTTCAGCCACAGGGTCCGGTCCGTTCCCCAGTACTTCGTGTTCGTATCCTTGCATTGCTACATCACTGGGCTCGACAAGCAACCCGACCGAGTGCAACGCCGCAGCTGGCCGGTCCAGTGTAATGCCTAGTCCCGCGGGGGTTGCCAATCATCCAGCCATACCCACAACCCGCCCGTCCTCTAGCCACTGGGTTGGGTTCCTCGAGACTTGTGCCCGTCGGAATGTTCCTTATCTCACCGGTTCCGCGGGGTCCCTGTGGGCGCGTAAATGGCGCTCACGGACTCTTGGCCGACGGTTGACAGTCCGAAATCCCACGGAGCATACGGAATATTCCAAGACCTGGGACGGCAGACCTGATTCAGATAAATCACCCATGCTGCCTGCAGAGCGGCCGTCTCCTTCAGTCCGCACTACATAAGACCGGCTCAGCTGTCTCTGACTTGCAACCCGTACGGCCTTACTGCCCGCATGTCAATCCCGCTCGCTGACATCTGGGAGTTCGGGATGATGCCGAGGCACTCCGTGCGTCCTCCGGGATCGTGATGTCAATTCCATACAGATGCAAAAGGCGGGGAACGCGCGGGGTAATCAAGCTGGCTTCTGATATCGGTTCCCAAGGCATTTTGGCCGTGGCTCGCGGTTTATTTCCTGAACGGGTAAAAATCGCCGGCACACTCGCTTTTGCTGCATTCCCATCAGATATGCATACGGCTGTTTTAGCCACTCTTGTATCGAGGCGAGCCCGAGTCTTTGGGAATACATCACCGAACCATTGCCGTGACAGACGAAGGGAGTCTCGCTCCAGTTGGACGCCTGCTAAATGCACGGAGGATATCGATCTAACGTCTACTCAACACGGCCCCGTCCCCAGCTCATCGCCTTCCACTGCCTCCGCCAATGTCCTGTCCGAGACGGTACGAGGTGATCTTGTCCCACTCAATCTTCTGTCTGGTCACGGGCAGCTGCCGTCTCAGGCCCTTGAACGCTCCCTCGCTCAAATTCGTGAACCCCCTGTTGAGCTCCTCCTGGTACTTCTTCTCCGAGTTCGAAATCTCCTTGACGATGCCGGCGCCGGTGCCCGAGACGGACGTCTGTGTGGGGCGGCTGGTGAGCAGGCGGACGTTGCCGTCTTCGTAGTAGTGCACGTCGACCTTGACGGAGCCCTCGAGGCTCTCGGAGGAGGGGTCGTAGATGTAGAGGGAGCGCCAGCGGCCGTTCCTGGGCACGTCAGCAAGGCTCGAGGAGCTGTGGGGAAAGCACATACCAAAAGTTATTGGGAGAGTACTTGTTGGAAACGATAATGACAGCGACCTTGGAGTCGTTCTCGGTCGGGTAGACTCCGTACGCGGCGTTGGGGAAGTGCTCCTTGACGTAGGGGCCGAGGCTCTTCAGCGTCGACTTGCTGCATTCCGTTTAGCACCGTCTCTCCCATCCACGCAGCGTCACCTACATCAAGTCGGCGTTGGCGCCCTCCAGAACGTAGCTCTGCGCGTTGCTGGCCTTCTGTGTGCTGTGGTCGAAGGTGAAGCTCGTGGAGCTCTCGACGTCAAAGTATTGACCGTTGCCCAGCGAGTTGTGAGAGCTGACGATGACCTGATGTATTCCCTTAGCTTCCGATCGCTCCCTCGAGCGCCGCTTGACCGACCTGCTGGCTGCCGCCGGGCAGCTTCACTGTGATGAACTGCTCCTCATTGTACTTCTCGAACGCCGGCTCGAGGCTCGAAACGAGTTCGGGGTCGGACACGGCGAGGGACTTGATGTCTTTGTCGGGTTAGCTGTCGGTCGGGCTGCGAACCGGTGGCAGCGTGTCGTTACCTGCGATGACATCTGCGAGCTTCAATCAGGTCAGCTCGGGGTGTGCACGGCGGAAACAGCTCAACGTACCTCGCCAGGGGGAGCTCCCTCCACGAAGGAGGACACGGTCTCGACTTGGGACATTCTGGGGTGATTTGCCAGAGTGGTGTATGCTTGCAATATCGCGTGGGCGGTGATGATGCGGCGGTGGACGTTGAAACGTAAGGTACCTGATGCGGGGCAATTGGCGGGACACCG